TTAGAAAATTATTGCAAAATAAATATATAATTACCGGTTACTTTAGAAGATTATCACACATTGATTATATATAATTATCGATAATTTTTGAAAATTATATATATATTTTTTTATAATTAGAAAAAAGGATGGAACGCATAACTGTAGAATATTATCGTGCCGGAATGCCTTACTTACCTCCAGAAGCTATTGAGGAAATCATTCAATCTCGAGGGACAATTAAAAATGCATGTAAAGAAATGGTTGATAAATATAGTACTTCAACGCGTCGAATTTATGAAATCTGGAAAAGACATGCTCAAGGATTACCCCAGCGCAAGCAACAAATGATACAAAATAATATTCCACCCAAAATAATATCTATACCTGAAAACGATAGGCAGAGTAAAAAAAGAAAATCTAAATCTATCTCTAATAATATTCCTAATATGGGTATAGTCGAACTAATTGAGCGAGAAACAAAAAGAAAAGATAAACTTTTAGCCAGTAGTAGTCATATAACATCTGCCTAATTTATATTTTCATTATCTATAACAGACTCAATGATATTTCCACACTTTATTTGCAAAATCTCATTGCAATTATTAAGTTCTGTGATCGATTTAAGCGCATTATAAAGACTTTTCTCATACTTCTCGCAATTCACGCATTTTTTTTTAATGATGAATCATCAGAATCTAGAGGTAGAGCCTCATTGCTTTGCAATAAGCTGAAACTCGCAGGAGCCTGCCATTTTTTTAATGGTACATTATTATCTTCATTCCCATCCATCTCTTGAAAAATTTGATCAGATACCAAAAGCTTATTTTGAGATGTGATTGCATAGTTCACTTCGAGTTTATTCTTGACTTTGTGCATAGTTACCGGAATAATAAAGTCCTGGTTATTATGATGGATCTTTAACTTATCCTTATCCCAATCAATACCGTATTTATATTTCTTGAGAAGTGGATTTGGGAATACACGTCACTCTGGATATACCGACATCTAAATATACTGACATCTGGCTATAACGACACTTTTTGAAATTTTAAACCTATATACTTAATATGAAAATGTCTCTGGTTAAACTGACATTTGGATATATCGACAATTTTTTTATTGCTAAAGAGTGTCGGTATAACCAGAGTTATGTGTATTAATGTTGGCTTGGGAACTCGTACGACTACAAAATCTTCACATATAGTAAAACCTGGAGAAAATGTAATTGGCAAATTACGAATAATACCAACAGATTCCGTTGGAACAGTAGCAACACCACTAAGATCATATTTTTCTGACCTATCTATTTTTCCATTTATACGTTTAACAATATCCTCTGATATAATTGCCATCTCGGCACCACTATCAATAACCATTGCTGGAATTTTTAAGCGTTTAATTTTACAAGGTATAGTTGCAAGGCTTGTGGCGGGTTCCTTTCTTTGAACAAAGTCTATCTCCATAGGATCATCTAATGTCTCTTCTTCATCAGATTCTGGAATTATTGGCACTGGTTCTCTATAATCTTTAAAGTCGGATTTTTGAGTAGATAGAAGGGTGCTGGATGGATTCTCAATCTTAGCTTTAAGTTTCTCAATCCAGTCTATAGGTGCGATACCATCAAGCATATCTAATACGATTTTTTGAAGCGACTTATCAATAACAGTGGATTTATTTTGTGATTTACCAGAATTGGGGGTCTCTTTCTGGTTCTTTTTACAAGGCTTGGATGAGTTTTTGGCTCAAAGCTTTGCTTCCTCTTTTCTGATTTTGGGTTGCTTTGATTTTTTCTTAGATGGCGATTTTATAGAATTACTCTTATGCTTTACTTTTTTTTTGATTTAACAGCATTTATAATTTTCGAAATTTCAGCCTCAGTTAAGCCATTCTCAGAATTAGAATCTAACCCAGAACCAGATTCGGATTCGGATTCAGAGTCAGAATTAGAATCGGAATCATTATCGGAAGAGTTAGTATCTGAATCTGACTCAGAGCTCGAATCTACAGTGGTGAGATTAACTTTGCCTTTCTTGTTAGATTTATTTCTAGACTTGCTCTTTTTCTTATTTTTAGGACAATTGCAAGAATTATGTCCAGTTTTGTTGCAAATAGAGCATCTGTGTTGCGACTTCACAGCTTTTTTAACAGCCTTAGCTACGTGCAACTTCAACTGCTTCTTCGTGAGATTGGCCAATTATTCATCGGAGTCAACTTCAACTTTCTTTATTACTGGTTTTGGAGGCAAATTGGGCTTGGGGATAGGAACAAATTCTTGAACCTCCCCAGTAATCTATTGTACAAATCTATCCATTAATATATCTTGCATTTTTTGATATGTGCCAGGAGGTTGTGGTCCGTAATAAGGTTGAGATGGCTGTATTTGCTGAGATGGCTGTATTTGTTGAGAAATGGGTTGTGGGGATGTAGATGTTATTAATTTAGATGACGATTTATAACTAGACTGGGGTATTTTACTAACCAATCCTAATTTTTTCTCTGCTCTTCGTATTTCAATGCGCTCTAAAATTTCAAAAAGATCAGCTAATGGTTGCTCAGTACCAATGCGTTCTGCATCATCCTCCAAGTCTGGAGACAAACCTCGAAGAAATTGGCCCTTAATCTGTTGCTCGTCGAGATTAAGCATTTTTCCATATTTTAAGAGTTTCGAGTAAAATTCTTCTATAGGTTCACTTCCTTGAGCTAATGATCCATATACTAAATTGCGTTTCTCGCTTATTACTGTGGGGTATTCATTTTTAAGCCAATATAATGCTTGACCAATTTGAATGCCGCCAAATACTATAGGATTACCATTACCTGCATTAATTGCATTAACAGGTCTATCTGATGGTCGCCCCCCAGCCAGGCGCCAATCTTCAGTAAAAGCTTCAGCTGGAATCATGGAAACACCTATAGTTACTGCATTATTACCAGCACCATTTGCATAGTCATTGGCAATCGAAGGAATTCTAAAGCTATTACTAGTATTCATCTATGCCATAGTGCATCCCCGAAGAGCACCCATACCAGCCTGGCCATGATTTGCAAAAATATTGTGAAGTTCCCATCGCTTGCCAAGAATTTTTCGATCAAACCATTCTAATGCTCGCCCATGAAGACACCCTCTAAGAATACCAAATACTTGATCTCGATTGGCAACTGGGTCTATACCAGTGCCAGCTAAATATGATGATAATTGACTAATAAAAATATCAATATCCTCATCATATTCACCTGAAAAATTTGGTAGTGGTAGTGGTTATAATGCCATATTTGCTTGTATATTTATAGGTAAATTATTCTGTAGCATAAAAATTTGTTGATTTAAATTCAAAATTAATTGCTCAGAATTTCGTGCCCGAGTTTTCCACTTACCCCACTTGTTGTCCAGTTGAACATCGGCAAGTAATAGATCGTTTTCTAGAGTCTTGCATTTATTTTTCTACTTATTGTATCGATTTGTTGTAAGATTTAAGAGATGTATAGTAATTGCTCTATCCATCTTACAATCTTGTAGTTGCTGCCTGTTTTGCTGTGCTTGAATCTGAAATTGTCTATTTAAAAGGTATGATACGAATTTTTCTTGGAGTAGCTCTGATATACGCTTATTTTTTTCTATACAAGTTGCTTTTAATAAGTGATAATTAAGTTT